TGTCAATAGGGATTTGTTTTATGACTGTTGAATTTTACAATCATCTAGTTCCTTCATGTAAAGTGTAACTTTTGCACAGTAACTTTGGGGCCAATTTCTGAAATTTATAATCCACCCATTTTAATCCCTCTCTGCCCATTCTCGTGTTTAATGAAATTATGCACTCTTTATACCAAGGGTTTTTATTTGTATTATTTTGTTTTTTTGTGGGGGGTTTTCTTGGGGGGTGGTAATTGGGTTTATTTATTTATTTACTTACCTAATGGAGGTGCTGGGGATTGAACCCAGGACCTCGTGCATGTTAAGCATGTGCTCTACCACTGAGCTATCTATATTCTCTCTCCCAACTTTGTTTTTTTTTTTTTTTAAGAAAAGGAGGTCATCATTTAATGTGTGTGTAAACCAAAAGGAAAAGGAAGGAATGGCATCCATGAGTCTCCACATTCTCAGTGAATGGTTCTTAATGGTCTGTGGATGCACCCTCCCAGACTGAGGGTAGCTTAAGTAGAAAAAGTGCGGATGATTTCCTGGTCTTCCCTGGTTAGGACAGCCTGATGCACTGAGTAGGGTGTGAGGTTTTATCCCAATACCCTAAAATGTGACCATCCCACTCCTATTAAATCAAAGATATTTTCTCACTGGTCCTTGCTCTCTTAGACTGTTAGACTAGAAATAGGGGCTTATTTCTCATTGATCATCATCCTTCTAAGACTCGGAAGGGATAGGGAGGAATGTAACTATTACTGACTCATTATCTTTGTCTTACTTGATGGGATAGCTTAATAGAGCAACGTGTATAATGATTAGTTAGATCATGTTTGATGATACAAACTTATCACCGATTCATAGGACATTAATACCAAGATACATTTAACTTTCCAAAGTCTATACATAGAAACATAAATTTTGCTTCTATTTTTAAATTACTTTTACTTTACTAGGTAATATATTTTCAGGGTCAAAAAATCAAAACTTCATAGAAAAATATACAACAAGAAATCTCAATATCATCCTCTGCCACTTGATTATACCCAACATTAGCCCTAATAGGTAGCAATTTTTATTAGTTCCTTGTATAAAACCTTCCAATGTTTCTTTAAACAAATAAAAGCAGATGCAAATAAGTGCATTAAAAGGTGCTCAACACGACTGGTCATCAGGAAAATGCAAAACAAAACTGCAATGAGATATCACCTCACACCAGTTACAGTGGCTTTTGTCAAAAAGACTAGCAAAAAATAAACAAATGGGACCTAATTAAACTTAAAAGCTTTTGCACAGCAAAGGAAACTATAAACAAAATGAAAAGACAATCTACAGAATGGGAGAAAACATTCGCAAACAATACAACTGACAGGGGCTTAATTTTCAGAATATACAGACAGTTCATACAACTCAACAATAACAACAAAAAACCCAATTGAAAAATGAGCAGAAGACCTAAACAAACATTTCTCCAATGAAGACATACCAATGGCCAATAGGCACATATAAAAAATGCTCAATATCACTAATTATCAGAGAAATGAAAATCAAAACTATAATGAAGTATCACCTCATACCAGTCAGAATGGCCATCATTGAAAAGTTCACAATTGATAAATGCTGGAGAGGGTGTAGAGTAAAAGGAACCCTCCTATGCTGTTGGTGGGAATGTAAACTGGTGCAGCCATTATGGAAAACAGTATGAAGAGTCCTTAAAAAACTAAAAATAGACTTACCATATGATCCAGCAGTCCCACTCCTGGGCATATATCTGGAGGAAACTAATTTGAAAAGATATCTGGAACCCAATATTCATAGCAGCACTATATACAATAGCTAAGACAAGGCAGCAACCTAAATGTCCCTCGACAGATGATTGGATAAAGGAGTTGTGGTTTATTTATACAATGGAATATTACTCAGCCATAAAAAGAATAAAATAATGCCATTTGCTGGAACATGGATGGACCTGGAGATCTTCATACTAAGTGAAGTAAGCCAGAGAAAGAAAAATACCATATGATGTCACTTATATGTGAGATCTGAAAAAATAATGACACAAATGAACTTACTTACAAAACAGAAACAGACTCAGACATAGAAAACAAACTTATGGTTACTGGTGGGGGAAGGGGTCAGGGTGGATAAATCGGGAGTTCAGAATTTGCAGATACTAACTACTATATATAAAATAGACAAAGTCCTATTGTATAGCACAGGGAACTATAGTCAATACTTTGTTGTAGCCTATAATGAAAAAGAATATGAAAAGGAATATATATATAATTTAATCACTATACTGTATATCAGAAACTAACACACCATTGTAAATCGACTATACTTCAATTAAAAACAAAGATTAGCAATTACAAGTGTTGGGAAGGATATGGAGAAAGGGGAACTTTTGTGCACTGTTAGTGTGAATGTAAACTGGTGCAACTACTATGGAAAAGCGTATGGAGGTTACCGCAGCATTATTTTAAAAAGCCAAGGTATGGAAATAAATTAAGTGTGCACTGATGGATGAATGGATAAATTGTGGTACAGATATACAATGAATTCAGCCATCACAAAAGAAAAAAAATTTTACCACTGTAACAACATGGGTAAATCTTGAGGGCATTATGTAATGAGAAAATTCAGACAGAGAAAAGATAAATACCATGTGATCTCACTTATATGTGACTAAAAAAGAGGAAAAAAAAGAAAGAAAGAAAGAAAGAAAAAGAAACAAAACTCATAGATACAGGAAATAGAGTGGCTGCCAGAGTTGGAGGTGTTGGGTGAGATGAAATGGATGAAAGTGTCAGAAGGTACATGAAAATCTGAATGTAAAAACCACAGGAAATCAAGGAAATGCAAATTTGGACATAATGAGATACTAGTTTGCATCCAACATACAAAATAAATTGTCTTAAAATACCAAGTATGAATGAGCTTGTGATGTTAATTCTGCCAAGAAATGGAAAAGCCAATTTTGCTAATATGAGTTCATAGATTCCAAGTCTCAAAACACAAAGCACAGTAATTATTTAATCAGATACCAACTGATTATAGAACTATATACTTGGAAGTAATTGAACACATGATTTAAATTCTACTTAACAAATTCCCACCTACTGAAGGTTACTTTCATAATATATCCAAATATATAGTTACTATATTTTTCATTTTCTTCCTAATGCAAGCTAATACATTTTTAGCAGCTAAACACTTGAAAATCAAGAGGATTTTATTACACTTTTACAGGTTGACTGAGTTACTATGATGAAACAGTAAAAAAAACAAACAAACAGATTTAGTGGAAACATCTGCAAGACTGGATAATTATTAAGGAAAAAAACAGAAGTGGGCTGGCTAATCTGTAACACAGTTAAAAGTACATGAAGAGAAAAGCTAGGACTTGGAGGTGTACCTGAAAGGATGGGTGAGTATGGCTAGTAGAATTTCAGGGCACAGTCTTGTGACCCACAGTTCTCAAGGAGTTAGGGGATACGGGTGCTGACTTGGCCCTCCATGAAGGAGGCAAGTGATCTGATCTGCCTTACTAATAACCAGAATAGATGTTTGCTTCCTTATGCAACAGAAGGAAATCGTACGACTTGGAAAAAAATGAAACCGCTCATTAAAGTAAAATTTTAGAAGTCCTACGTTACTAAAATCCCATGCCACCTTAAATGTAAAATCACTAATAGTAGCAACACATCCCCGACACTAATTATTCTATAATTGTTGGAAAAGACATACCTCTGTTTTTTTAAACTTCACCACGAAGTAGATCAAACTTTGGGCTAAAATTATCCCTGGGCTCTCAGGAATCCCAACTGACGTCAACACTTGGAAAAAGGCAGGAAACCGAAGGAAATAGTTCCTGCTCTTGGTCTGCTGTAACCTGCTCTTTCAAAGCCTGGGGTATCCTGTTCCTTCTCAGAGAGAGGAAGGAAAGTAATTTCAGAGTGAGGTTGCTGATATACGTTAGGAAGCTTCTAGAGGTCATTAGTAGCGCTCTGGCTTAATAAGATACACCTGCAGATCTAATCAGGAGCGAAGACCTAGTTAAGGAGAAACCTGGGCTATTTACAATTGCAGGGTGAGTTAGTAACTTAACCCATTTGAGGCTGGAGCTAACCATTAAGGGTTTTGCTTGTCTTTCTCTTAGCTTAAACCTACAGCAATTTGCATCCAAAAAAAAACAAAGAAAGAGGGGAAAAAATGCTCAAAGAAAGGAAGAAAGGTCATGCCTTCATGAAAGACTTGAGCAGGCCATATACTTTGGCGTGCTGCACCCTCCACTTAAAACCTCTGCAGCTATAATCCCCTTGTGAAAAGTTAACCTATGGTTTGGGAGAATTTACAACACCTATCACCCTTGAGGGATGAATGGCCAGAATACATGAAGAATTCCAACAAATCATTGAGAAACAAGGCAACCTAATTTTAGAAATTGGCAAAAGATTAATTTGTCTCTTTGGAGAAGGAAAAGAGGCGAGCTTGCCCCAGGCCTGCTGGAAAAGGCTGGTAGGAGGAGGCACCGAGCCAAGCATCTGTGCCAGTGCCCAACGCCGCAGAGCTGGAGGGTTGCCACACCGAGACCAAGCCATCAGGTGGGACATGCAGCTCCCTGCAGGCAGGCAGGCAGGGAGGATGACAGACCAGCACTGGCCCCGCTCCACCGGACCCCCACCCCTCATTTTCTCCAGATCACTATTGTAGCAACACTCCGAACAAGATCTGTATGATGATAAACCGGGAAGTACTAGTGTAGACATGGCTTGGCCTCATTCCTGACTCATAATCTGCATCCGTCAACATTAGGAATTCTGCTCAACTCAGTTGCCTAATAGTTAATGTCAGAAGAAAACATTCTAGGAGTCAGAACGCAGAGCTGTCAACCTCCAGAGAGAGCTGGATCCGAAACCTGATCTATCAAACCACCTAATCTTTTGATACAGGTCCCAAACACCCAAAAATTTATGGGGAGAAGTATAAAAGTTAATGCAAAAAAAAAATCTTTCTTAAATTGCCAACATTTTCCAGAGATAAAACTTTATTTGAGGCATCAAGCAATATACTGAAAGAGGTGAATCATGCAAGAGTGATGTCCTTATTCCCATAACTGTATGAGTGATACTCTCTGCCCTCTTAAAGGGGTGTGACGTGCAAAAACGAGAAGCACACAGCTTTCAGACATAACCGTATCTATACGAGTGCTTTAGAAAGTCTCCTTTAAATTTTATTGTTCCTTCTTTAAAAGGCACGTCGGTTTTATTTCGGAAAGCTACAACAGACTACTTCTACTGAGGATGAAGCTCTCCTCAGAGTTATTTACGAAATAATGCAGCTGCCTTTTTCTTTGAAGGGATTCTTGTCTTCTGGAATTCCTTTCACCAGAGGATCCTCTCCAGAACGTTCTTCAATATAGTTCTTTATTTCTTCAGAACATTTAGACACCTTAAGGTGTAAGAAAAGAAGAAAGAATCAGGTCAGGATTGCTTAAACTCTGTCACCACCCTTTATGAAATTAATATAATTGGGTACAACCAGCATTTTAAAAATGAAATAAAATAGAATAAAAATATTAGAGTGCAGTACAGAATCTATAAAATATATATGAATAATACAATCTATGTAAAATGTATTTCTTACTGTGGTCAGAGTCAAAAAAGTTTGAAAGTCACTGTATTAAAAAAATTAACCCCAGCAATTTCTATCCATTGTGTTTCATATGATTTCCTTCCTTTGTTAAAATACAATTATGATGCATCCACAATTTTTTAGGAACTAAAACATACTCCACTTTCAATCTTCCATGCTAATGAACAAGTGTAGTAGCAGATAACCCCCGAAGGACTTGGGGTGTGTCCCGCAAAAATTCTCACTTACTGGGTGTATGCCAGGTTCCGCAGTTTTACAGAATGTCAGAAGCGCTGGAGAAAGTCTAATTCTGGAAAGGCTAAAATTGCCCCAAATCCACCCCCTCGTCACCCCCGTCTCTGCTCAGAATTCTCTCCCCTTGCTTGACGGCAATGATCGTAATAAAGGTGAATCTGAAGCTTTTTAGGCTTATCTGAGACTTGTGTTTATGTAACTAGTTTAAACTTTTACTGAACAGAGAAAGAACTGAACAGCTTCTCTTAAAAAAGTCTATCCTTAACAGACAGTTTGCAAGAGTGAGTTACAAAAAGTGTGTGTGTTGGGGGTTGGGGGAAGGGATAAAAAAGAAAGAAGAAAGATTAGGGTCTTAATGAAGGCCTGTATTACTAGTAAGAAATTAGAAGTAAAAATCATAGAAGCTCCCTCCAATGGAGACCTCTAGGCAGATGTTCCCACTGATTTTGTAATCTAGATTAGTAATCTTCAAACTGTTTTCATGGGGACCACTAAAAAGTGTGTGCATATGTATCCCTATTTACTTAAAAATAAGTGCAGATACTACTTATTTTTAATATATCAGGTATAATAATAAAATATAAGCTAAAAAGTATAAAAAGATGAGATTTTAAACTAACCCCAAATACATTATTTTGCAATATCAGATCATTATGTTGTATGCCTAAAATTAATGTTTCACGTCAATTATACCACAATTAAAATTTTTTTAAAAATCAAACATTTTATATTTTATTCCGACACCCCAAAGATTCTTGGCACACCAGTGTGGAGGCTACTGATCTAAGATTTAAAACTAAGAGATATAGTTATATGACTTAAAATGTGGCAAAATAAAATCTTTCAAAGACCATTCTCTCAGGTAACACTTGCTCTCCCTGTTGCTGGCATTCATAGTGTGGGCATTTTAAGTGAATTCTCAGAGGTGATGATGCAAGTATTCATAAGCTGGGGTCTGTGGCCACAGAGAAATTTGTCGATAAGATTCATGTTTCCCCAAATTGTATCTGTTCTTACGGAAGCTTCTTCATCAGGTTTCCAAAAAGATATGTATCTTCCAAAAGTTAATAATTACTTCTCAGATGCATTTCCTTCCATGATCAAGAGGATATATTTGAACATCAATTAGCTAGAGCCAGAATTCAGCCTGTGAATTTTGTGTTCTTGACATGAGCAGAGCACATAGCTCAGAAATGACCAGTTTACTGACAGAATAGTGGAACAGGCATCAAAAGACACATATTTTAGTGTTTTAATAGTAACTGCCCCATCATTATCTCTGGGATCTTAAATGAGGGGCTAGTTAGCTTCTTTGGGATTTAGGTTTTTTTATCCTTAAAAGTGGGAGGGTTGAATGATCTCTAAGAGCCGTAGTGTTTTTCTAGCACTGACACTCTATAATTCAAAGTGCATAATAAAATGCTGGAATCTTATTATTAGGATTTAGATGCCTCTCCCTCTGTTCCCTAAGGTTACCCCTGAAGTTTTCTCTCTTTCTGGTGCTGACTTGGAGTTTTGGGAGCTGGAAAACCAATCCAGTAGAGCGTGTCCTAAGGAGTGGAGGCGGGGAGCTGGCAGGGAGGTACTGCTAATGAGTGATAACTTTAATTTCCTCATGGTCAGCCACATCCAGGCCTCTGCCCAATTTCTAATTTGAAGGTTTAAATAACTGGAACACCCTTGTCTCTTTTTTCCCCTGTAAGTTCTGCATAGTGGTACCAAATATTAAGATAGTCCAACTTTGCACAGTCAATGCTTTACTTCAGTATATACAACTCTGTTTAATATGTAACCCAAGATTCATTGTGTGAAAAAAATCCAAGCGGCCGACAGACACTTTGCCATCCACAAAATGGGTCCCTTAAAGTTGTGAGAAACAAACCTATTCATTGGATCCTGTAACTTTTTTTCCTTTAAAAACAGCAGTATTTTTAAAGCTACAAAAACTTTCAACATGGATGGAAAGGACTTCAAAATCTGGGAAAAACAGGGATTTGGAAGTTAAGGTTAAATTTAAGAAAAGAAATGTATAAAGAGTAAAACCCCCAAAAGCCTGTATCTTCCAAACATCACTCAAGATGTGCATCCTGAGTAACAAGACTGTTTTAAAAAAAAAAGTCTTTCTTTTTAAAATTTAGTTTTAATGGCAGTACTGGGGACTGAAACCAGGACCTCTTGCATGTTAAACGTGCATTCTACCAGTGAGCCATAGCCTCCTGGACAAAGTAACAAGACTTGTCAGGAACAGACCTCCCACAACTAGAGCAGGAAGGTAAGTGAGCGTATTAACCACACTTACTTCTTTGTCACTGTTTTCCTTAACTTTTTCTAGTATTAGACCATAGAGAAATAAAATTAGTCTAAATTTTTCTGCCTGTGGATGGAGAAAGGAAAATTCTCTTAAAAAATATCTATCCAAAAACCTATTCCCAGACTACAGGTTGCCTGACTGAGGGAAAAAGAAGAAGTGAAGTCCCCTATTACCAGTAAAAACTTGGAGTAAAAATTACAAAATCTCCAAAAAAATTCAGTGGAGACCTCTAAACACTGGGACATATGTTCTCACAAAACTTGTAATCCACTTCTAAAATTTTTGGTCACAATCACTAAAAAGATTTTTTGTATGCCGTATACGTATAATTATGTATTTATAGATAAATGCAAATACTGCTGGCTAGGTGTTAGTTCACTGCGCATACTTACAAAACATAGGGTGGAAATTATAAAGGAAAGAGATTTACAAATAAAGATAGAAATTGTAATGTTTTGCTCTCAAGCCCCAGTGGACTGTTCCTCACACACCTTGGAGAGCCCTGATGAAACTCAAAACTATGTAATTCAAGACTTCCATTGTGAGTTTTAAAAAACCTTTAAATACCATTTTTCCCACTATGAAAACGATCAAGGAACTAAGAAGCCATCTGCCTTTTCCCTACAGCTTGAGTTTTTAAAACCAACTAACAGCAGGCAGAATTTCTTGTCTGTTTCTCCCATTCTAAGTTCCAACATTTGGCTGTAAATGACTCATGGGATCCCTGCTCTCTTCTTTACCTCCTATGATTTCTCCACATCAGCTGGAAGTTTCCAAGCACTACCAAAGCCCTTCTTCAAGAGAAGCCAAAAAACAAAACAGAAACAGAAACAATAAACCCTTCCCCAAATCAAAAACCAACCAAACAAAAAACCCCAAACCAAAAAACAGAACACCTAATGCCAAAAAACCCCACATTTGTTCTACTGTAGCAAACCAGGAAAAGCTGACCTTAGTTCATTTCATAGAAGGAAAAATTCTGGGACATCCAACTTACTTGTTGTCTCTGCAACTTGACTTCTTTGCGAAGTTGCTCAACTTCCATCTTCAGCTTTTCCTTTTCTGGCAAATCTTCGATGTGAAGGGCCGGCATTTTCGCCCCAGAGCTGGGCTCAGGGACAGCTCTCGAAGTGGAGCAGCTGTAAGTGCCGCAAACTAGGGCGCGTCCCGAAGTAGCTGCGCTGCCTGCGCACCGCGCCCGCCCTCCGGCGCAGGAGGTGACCGCCTCCCCGCGCGGTGGTCCCCAGCGCCCCGACGACGTGCTTCACACCGGCTCTGCCTAGTGTCCTAAGATCTTAAAACCCCTGGTCTCTTTCTCGGGTACCCAGAACCCCGGGAGGCCTGCTCCAGGGAGGGTTAGGTTTGCGACGCGGCGGGAGAGCGCGGAGAGGCTGC